TATGTTTAGATAGAGAGAGTGGGAGCAAGCAAGTGAGAGAGATTTGTTTTATCATTTATTGTACACCTCATGACAGGAGAGAACCCAGTTCCTTTGTATCCCAGACCTCATAAGATTCCTGAGACTTAGTTCATAGTGTTTAATAAGTAATTGATGAATAAATGAGTGAAGATATATCAAAATTAATTCATATTGTATGAAAATATTAAGTACTTAAAATTTAGGTAAATTAGAAATATAAGGAATCTAACAAAACACCTACTCCAAAGACTTTTTTATATAATGGAAACATATACACTAGAAAGATCACTTTATTAAGGCAAAAGTCACTTTTAAGCATATTTAGATAAAAATGTTCCAGAGCCTGAGAGGTGGCTCAGTGGTTAAGAGCACTAGCTGTTCTTGCACAGGACCTAGGTTCATTCCTAGCACCCATATGGCAGCTCATAACAGTCACCAGGGGATCTGACACCCTGTTCTGAGCTCCTCAAGCATTGGTTGACACAGGTGCACTTAAATACATGTAAGCAATACACTCAGACACATAAAATAAAAATAATAAATAATTGACAAAGATCAAATGAACGAAAGACTGAAAATGTGGAGAAAGAGGAACACTCATTCACTGTTGGTGGGAATGCAAACTTGAGCAACTATTATGGAAAGCAGTGTGGAGAACCCTCAAAAAACTAATACTGAAACTACCATATAATCCAGTGATACACTCCAAGGCATATACCCAAAGGACTCATCATACTGTAGAGTTACCTGTACATCCATGTTTGTTGCTGCTCTCTTCACAAAAGCTAAGAAATGGAAACAACCTAAATGCCCCTCAACTGACAAATGGTTAATGAAAATGTGGTACATCTACTCAATAGAGTTCTACTCAGTAGTAAGAAAAGATTAAATTAAAAATTTGCAGGTAAATGGATGGAGCTAGAGAGTGTTATACTAAGTGAAGTAACACAACTGCAGAAAAGCACATGATGTATGTTCTCCCTTATTTACAGACTATAGCACCAATCCCTTATATGTGAGTATATAAATTCTGATGTAAACCAGGAGCCAGGTAAAGGGAAAGGATACATGGGTAAAGGACAAGAAACAACCTGAAAGGGGGATAGTAGGGAACAGATGTTACCTGAGGGAAGTGGAAAAAGTGGGAGTAATCGGCAGGGAGGAGAGGAGGGAGGGACATGCAAGGGACCATGATGTGGGGGAAGGAGAGAAGTCAGGAGAGGAAAGATGGACAGGTGTCTGGAGGTATTGAGGGGAGGGTGGGGATAATAAGGGCACTGTGATAAGGTAGGGAGGGAGGAGGAAGCTGGATAGGAGAAAAAATAGTGGAGATGAGTGAATCTCAGGGGGATAGGAAACCTAGATGGAAAACTGATGCCCTAGAAGCCCTGTGAGAAATGCACACAGAGTGTGTGCATATGTATGCCTGAACATATGTATACCTGGAAGCTGCCTGGCAGGGAATGCAGTGCCAGATAGAAGAGGCCTCCCTTAGAGAGACAAACATGCCATGAAGCACTCATCAAAGAAGCTTCTTTTTACAACAGATGGAGGCTACTGCAGAGTTACACATCTGGTCAGGCACAGAGAACACATGCCTGGGAGATGCCCAGTACTAAGTGACACATCTACAGTTGAATCTCTACAACTAAGGCTCATGGAGCATTGTGGAAGAAGGGGTAGAGAGAGGGCTAATGCACCCCTCAACTCTCACCAGTGAGGCTTCCATCTACATTAGAGTGTGTTACACACAGAAGGCCTCAACTGGCCACGTTTTGGAGAATAAGAGACAGTGAAGTGTAGGATGGGATGCCTAAATGGAACCTCACCCACTCGTGGCTCAGGAACCACTGCAGAAGAGGAGACAGAAAGGCTGAAAGAGCCAAGGCTGGATCATGAGCACAGGGAGGTGGAGGTCTCAAGGCCACTGGAGGCTTGATCATGTGAGGCTGTGGCAATGGTGGCATCGAGCATGGGATCCATGTTAGGTCAAGTAAACAAGGTCCCAAAGGACAGATGAGAAACAGGTGGTGGGTCAGCACTAGACTGAGCCTGATTGATGTTGGGTGACGGAAGAGTATAACTTATATATGACCATTGGATGGGCTGACAAGACTCCAGGGGACGCATTCACACTGAAAGGCATTTGTTATAAACACCTGAATGAATAGGACACAGCATGTATGGCCGAGTGCACAGGGTTTGATGGGGGAATAAGGGGAGACATGGATGGGGAGCGGGTGTGGATTTGTATGGGAAATGTATGAAATTTAAAAAGCTCAAAAACAGTGAAAAAAATAAAATATAAAAAATAGATAAAATAGTTTTTAAAAAAGAAAAAAATCCAATCAAATACACTCCCCATTGTACCATCTGCTTATAACTAAAATAGATTGAATATACTGCAAATTCTTAAACTAATATTCTGAAATAAATGACAATATAAAATGAAATAAAAATATCTAAGCTGTTCCCTATTTTAAGACAAAAACCCTATATTGTAGAAAGCAATAGTGCAAAGGCCTGTATATGCATTGCTCAGAAAATTCCTATGCTGAAATCCTAAAGCCTCTGTAAAAGACGTAGGAGGTGAAGTCTTTCCAAGATATCTAGGTCATGAAAATGGAGTTTCATGATGGCACTAATGCCCTTAGCGCTTTTTAGAGGGTTAGGAATATAACAGTGTTAGAATGCCTGTCCAGTATGCATGAAGCCTTGGATTTGACCTCCAGCACCCAACACCCCCCCAACACACACACACACCCATGAACTAAGGAAAGCAAAGCTTCCTTCGGAGATCTTTAACCACCAGCCAGGTGAGGTTAACAGGAAGGCTATCTTTTACAAGAAATGGGTCTTCCCAGGACCACATCTTCCAGGGCCTTGATCTTAGACTTAGCAGCATCTAAAACCATGAAAATAGATCCCTGCTCTGGGAAACCACCCAGTCTGTAGTACATTGTAATAGTAGCCTAAATAGATCTAGATAATGTCTTAAAAATAAAGTTTCTTTTCAAAAATTAAGTACCAGAAAAAAATATTTTGCCTTGAATCATTATACTTCCCATTCTGAGATTTTAAACTGTGCCCTGGAGACTTAAATCAGCAAAGCCGCATGTTTGGTTACTTGTGGAAAAGGTTGCTATATTTTTGCTGAATCAGGTTAGAGCATTTCTTTGTGACCAATCTAAATGTCTCCATTCCACAAACGGCAAAGTGATAATTCCACACTAATGTGATCCATCAAACACACCTCCACTTTCAGCCAGGCTCAGTGACTCCAGCAAGGAAGCAGAGAAGGCTGATTTATTCTAGAGTTTTCACTAAGGATCAGCAAATCAATCCCATGTTCATTCATCAAAAATGAGGCCTCATAAAATCCTCCTCCCTGAATAATTATGGAATAAAAGCATAAAATGCATATAAACTATCTAAATATAGCCAAAGTAAGTCACTTACACAAGTACTTTCTTTCAATTCTCTATGGTAGTCAAAGATACAGTGGAAGTTTTCAAGGTATTTTGAAAAGAAAAGAATATCTCTCCAAATAAGAAACATCATTTTTGCAATCGAAAACAAACCCCAGATGTCCAAATCCCTGAACTAAAACTAATTTTCAGAAATGTTCTGTGCTTTTTCTAGGCCTACTGTACAACTCAGTAGTGTCAATTAAATTACATTTATCAGAGTATTTTGACTAATGAATAATCTTTAAATTGTTAAATTCAAAGCATATTACATCCATTAAAAAATGAAAATCTCATCCAAGTAATTTGGATTCATGTTGTTATCTTGATGTCACAAAGGCAGTGCAGAGAAAACTGTTTGAAGATATTGCTACCCCTCGATAGATCATGATTTAATGTAAATTATTAGGTTTGTTTTAGAACTCATTGCTCTCAGTCATTGAAATTGGTCCTTAATGAAGAAAATACTGAGATAAAGTGACTTCATAATATGCCGGAAATTCACTTTTTGTTCTTAACGCAGACCTAACAATCTGGTGGCCTACAAGTTAAACGTCACTAGCATTATGTTTTGACTTAACAATTGGCTTTTACAGCTACTTTGGAAATAGTTTGGTTTATACCATACTATTTCCAATTTGCTACAATCTTTACCTATCTTACTCTGGTATTATTTTCTTTTCACGTTGTGTGCTTAGTCTTTAAATATTATTAGCTTCTGAGAGCCTATATTTTAAATTCTAATTTGAATGTTCCCTAAATCATTTGTTTTCACACAGTCACATAACAGTGAAAGAACGAAGATTGGAAGGTATCTTAGAGTTTCTCTTGCTCCTCTCATTTCTTCCAAGAAATCTAAGGCCAATTAAAGGAAAACAGTTTGCACATGCTTAGATGTCCAGTAACAGTTCTGTCAAAAACGATCTTCTAACTTGGTAAGGTCAAAGGAGTCTTGCTTGAGGCTTCCTATCTTGTTAAGCATCATCACCTCTTCATGAGTACTCACCCCTCAGTGCAGGCAGCAGGGATCTCTCTTTCTTGTCATCACATTTGTTACACTCACTGAAGTACAGAAGTAAAAAGACATCAACAAGGACCCACATCAGTGAAGTGGCTAGAACCACCTTGCAGTAGACAAATCTCCTCATGCTTGATTTCTAGTTAACACACAGATTGAAGACAAATGCTTCTGTGATATATCCAGGCCACAAAAGTGAGCTCCAGTGTAAAAGTAGGATGCATCCCACTGTATTAGAACAAAAAAAGAAGAAGAAAGAGAGCTTTCATTATGACACAAGGAGTTTTTACACAATGATAAGAAGATATATCCAAATACATGACTCAGTTCTTGTTCTCAAGGGCATTATTATTCAGATCTTCAAGTGCAAAACTAAACCCCTCAGACTGCATCTTCAACCAGTCTAGTAGTTCAGATTCCAACACGTGGTACTGGAGCTGTCACTGCACTGCTGAGCCCTTGACAAGCTATTTGATTTTGTCGAGTTGTACTGAATTTACCTTACGCCTCATGCTGTCTTATGTAACATGAGATTGTCAAGTAGTGTACTTCCAATTTACCCTGATATAGTCCTTCAGGAAAGCCAATAATGCATTGAAAAAGAAATGATCCCAAGATAAAAATGTGACATAGTATCTAAGAGTCAGTCTCTAAAGAGGTAACTCTGGGTATGATCATTTTCTAATACCAGGATACTTATCCGACTCACTTTTCCAATCTGTGAAATGAGGACAGAAATGGCATGCCTAAATATTTGCTAGAAATAAATGTGATCATGCTTACAGAACACACAATCATCAAGATTATAAACAAAAAAACTAATGGTTCTTAGAATCTCAAGTACAGCACTTTGTGAAATTAATAAAATTTATTTAGCCTTAAAAATTCTGGTCTAGCTACATAGGAAATATTCTAATTTGTTGTGTATTCTAGAATAGAAAACAGGTATTCAAATAATGTATCATGGGAAGAATCAACATACCAATATAAAATAATTTAAAATAACAAGAGTTTGAAATGTAAAGGGCATAAGAAAGACAGTTATAAAACTGTTGAGAGCTATTCAAAGTAAGTATAAATTATATCTTTTACAAATCTGTGTGTCTATATTATAGTGAGAAGCAACTAATTAACTAGTTTCTATGAATAGAAAAGATAATCTGGTATCATTTGCTACACCTGAAAGATCATCAGCCAGAGAATGCTTGCTTAGCCTTGGCAAGACCTTATATACAACCTCCAGTACCACTAAATAAAAAATTAATACATTAATACATAACATTGTTTTGGTAGAGTACTTGGGAAGATAGTATTAAATTCAAAGACAATTCAAATATGTCATAACAATTTGTTTCAAAATAATAACAAAAACTACTACTTGCTAAGACAAAAGCTCTTTAACACCAGTAGAATAAAGCAATAAAATCTTGCCTATGACAACCAACGCTAACTAGCAACATTCAAAAAATTCACACAGTGACAGCAAAAAAATAACCATAACAGAATCTAATTTCAATAACAAAATATAATTTATATTCATTCAGATATACAGGCATAAATATTTCCCAAAGGAGAGAAATGGATCATGTACAAATCCAAAAAATACATAACACTTGGAGTTTGTTTCCCTTGGAAAAATAATTGTGGAATGTTCATTTACCTAGTTTGTTTAATTTCCTCTTTACTTTTCTATAAAAAGGATGGCTAAATATTAGAACTCAGCTCAAATCCTAATAACAAGGGCAAAATTCTCCCATATGGATTTCCTCTCATTGTGTGTGTGTTTCAAAATTTGAGATATTAAACAAGCCAAGTTATCAAATTTTCTTTCTTTGGTTCTAAAGCAGAGTGCATTACTTTAATTTATGATAGGAAAAAATCCTGTGGAAAAGCGTATGTAACGTTGATGATTGCTGAATCATCTCACCCATCTTCAGAAGTAACTTGTCATAATAAATGATTTTTAAGACATAAGTGGCAGGGCTGGAGAGATGATTCAGTGGTTAAGAACACTGACTGTTCTTGCAGAGGACCCGGGTTTGATTCCCAGCACCCACGTGGCAGCTAACAACTGTCTGTAACTCCAGTTCCAGGGTATCTGACGCCCTCTCCTGACCTTTGTGGGCACTGCAGGACACAGGTGCACTTACATATATGCCGGCAATACACTCATACACATCAATAAAATAAAATAAAATACAAATAATGTCCTAGCTTATTCTTCATTGCTGTGACAAAATACTCTGACCAATACCAACTTGGGGAGGAAAGAGTTTATTCAGTTTACATCTCCCAGATCGCAGTCATCAGGGAGCCCAAGGTAGGAACTCAGGACAGGAACCTGGAAGCAGGAGCTGGAGCACAGGCCATGGAGGAACGCTGCTTACTGGCTTGCCCCCCCGCCGTCCCCCCCAGCCCCTGCTCAGCCTGCTTTCTTATGCAACACAGCCCACCACCCACAGTGGGCTGGGCCCTCCCACATCACTCAGAAGATGCCACTCAGACATGGCCACAGGCCAGTCCAATAGAGGAAATTCCCCAATTGAGGCTCCCTCAACCCAGGTGTGTCAAGTTGACACTAAAGCTATCCAGCACAAATAATAAGAATAAAATATTTTTTTAAAGATAATACTTTTTTTAAAAAATGTAAGTAGCAATTCCCTTGGCTTTGTTACCAAGTGGAAAAGTGACCTGAGGTAAACAGCTGGCTGCTTTGGGCTTGATTTTTATTGACAACATATTTCCTGCCCTATGAACTTCACAAAATATTATGAGGCTAAAGCAAGATAACAGAGAATATTGGAAAGAGAAAAAAATGAAGATTATTACTAGAAAATCTGAAATCACTTAGTATTAAAAATTAAAATATCGATGATAACTCATTTCCTAATAAGAGCCTAGCAGTTGAGGTTATGGAGAATTTAATTTTAGCTTTAGTTATGATAAAAGATCAAAATCACATTGTATGGGGCTGGCATGATGGCTCAGAGGTTAATAGTGCTTGATGTTCTTACAGAGGATCTGTTTCAGTTCCCAGCACTGAGAAGGTGGCTCAAAGTTGCCTGTAACCCCAGTTCCAAATAATCAGATAACCTCTTCTGGCCTCTGCATCCTAACAACAGGCATGCATGTAGTATACATATATACATACATACATATATACATACATACATACATACATACATACATACATACAGGCAAACACTAAAACACATAAAATGAAAACACTATTTTTTACTTCAAATTTTATTGATTTTTCATTACATGCTGAAATTATTTTAATACTTTAAATTACTTGGCAGACACACCTTAAAATGTGTATACATGCACGTGTGACTATGTTTTGACAATATATTAAAAGGTTTATAAGTACGAACTTATAAACTAAGGTATTCTTAGCTTCTTAAACTCTAAAATGGTATCTTTGCATTCATTAAATATTTCATAAAACCTTAAAATACTATTTGGTTATATAAAACAACATTCATTGGAGTCATAAAATAAAAGATTCATTAGATATAAAAGTTAAAATTGGATACAGAGATTTCAACTTTTTGTTTTTGTTTTTGAAATAATATTTATTGAATTTTTGTGTTGACATAATACATTTTGATCATATTTAGGACCTGATCCCATCTGCACCCCTTTTACAGTCCCCTTGAAGATTTCATGTACTTTACCATATATGTTAAGGCCATTCAAGTCAAGTTTGAGTTCCCAAAAGTCCTTCCAAGTGTGCCCACCCACTGAAGTCTGGTTAACCTATCTAGAGTCACATCCTTAGAGAAAACAACTCTTCCTCTCCCAGTAGTTGTCAGTTGCCAACAGTTTCTCAGCTAAGGCTGTAGCTTCTTTCCCAAATACCCACTTCTATGCTGGGATTCGTCTGGCTTGAGCTTGCATGTATTTTGTACATTCTGCTTCCATTGCTGTAGTCTATGAACCACAATAATGACCAGCCCAAGAAATAATCTTTACTAGTGCAGTAGTGGCACTTCTTTCTTGGAGGTAATCAACAGTTACTAATTAGGATTAAGACACACGTAACAGAAGGGAACTCATATGTGGAACTGTAAACTTAGCCAAATACACATGGCTGTAGAAGTCATAGGTCCTGGAGAAAAAAAAATTGCTTTTGTCACATCCCTAGACAAATGTAATTTCTTTTAACTTTTAAAAAAACTTTATTCAGAATTTTATACATGCATATAAGGTGTTTTGATCAAATCCATGCTCACTCCCTCCCTTCCAACACCTCCCATGTCTCCGATCACTTTTTTCTTTTTCTTTTTTTTCTTTCATTTATTTATTTTTATGGGGCTTTTGAGTACTCTAACATTCCCCCTCTGAAGAGGTAACCCTAAAATCTTTTAAGGATTAGATACAAGCTCCCAAATACTTTTGACACTTTTGGCCTTTGGAACAGAGTATGTTGCTAACAGTCCCAAGGACATTTTGATTTTTAGCCAAGAAACTGGCTACTTTTCTTTGGTGTCTTTTTACCCTAACTGCCTAGCCAATTCCTACTTCCTATTCTTATCACACCATCCTCTGAAGGGGTTACCCAAATTGCCAATAGGGAACAGGGACGCCGACTGCTCTGGCTTCTTCCATGCTGAACAGGGACACAGGGTGAGGCCATTGGAGTAGCCCTTCAGTGGGTCTATCTAAAAGACTCCCAAATTGCATAACTCTTATCCCTAAGGGGAAAAGAAAATCCTTGACTCATGAATAGGAGATATTAAGGAGAAGTAAAGGCAAGAGTAATTAGCATTACAAGTTCTAGACAGGGAACTAGAAAAAAGTCAGAACAGGGCAATTTTCAAATGTTCATATGAGAGTCCACTGGAATTTCTTGACAAGGGCTTCCAAAAGCATCCCTCTATTGGGTTCCTCCACATTTTTCTTTTGTCTTCCAAGACTGGACTCTAGAGTGGTGGATTCAGGATTTGCTTTCAGGTATTTTGATAGCTGTTGGAGTAGTTAGAATCAGTGTCAATTCCCTCTCAAAGGCTTCAAGATTAATGAGGGGTTGCTGAGGTTTATGTATGAACTGAGGGTATGCAGACTGGAAAGCCTTTACCCAGCATGGGTCATGCCTTCTTTTCCTAGCCTTCCCCAGATTGTATACTTTAACCCTCCCCAGGAAGCCATGTGTTATCAGGGTCAAATTACACACATTTGGCTGGGAAGAATGGCTGGATAATCCAGTGAATGTCCAATGACCC